CAGGAATTGCATTCCTGTGTTGTATCTTGACACATAGTCAAAGAGGTGTATTAGTGCGGCAGCCAGGTTAAGATCCAAATGCAGGTTTCAGAAGCTTTAAAACTGGCTCTGTTAACTCTGCAGCTCCCTGTACAGTACCTAATGCAGCAAGCAGACACCCATTCACACACATCACTGGTTTGGTCATGGGGGGGCCACCCACAAAAAGAAACCCTTTTCGAACCACTTTATGCATGCTGTGGTGTTAATGAGGTAGTTTATAATCTGGAGCAAATTATGCTGTTTCTGTATTTCTGCAGATTTAGTAAGTTCAATCTTAGATTTGCATTTTTAAGAGATCTTGCTGATCAAATAGTACCAGTGCTATTTTTTTTCTTCCTTTGTTTTTGCAGCTAAGCTGGTACCAGTTGGCTATGGTATCAAAAAGCTTCAGATCCAGTGCGTTGTTGAAGATGATAAAGTTGGAACAGATATGCTGGAAGAGAGAATAACAGCTTTTGAAGATTACGTACAATCAATGGATGTAGCTGCTTTCAATAAGATTTAAGTCTTGAGATACCTAGAATAAATGCAGTTGCAAAAATGGGGCCTTGTCTATGGTTAATTCGAAATCATCGTGTGATCAAACCCTTAAAATTTGGCTGAGGGGTAAAGTAGAACCTAAAACTGAATTTCAGGGTTGCTCCAACATCCCACTGTAGTACCAGAGAGCATGAGCCAGAGAAAGAAAACTTACACAGTCAGTCCAGGTTTAACATCTTGGCTTGAAGAATCTGAACTGCTCTTGGGGAAAGCTGCATCTTCAGACATTTCTGTAATTCCTCTGGAAGAAGGGATGGTTTCAAGGGGACAGCACAGGGCTCTGGCAAAGTGGAGGCAATTTCTCTTTAACAGATAAGAACAGTAGTATGAATTCTTTTTGTCTGTTAAAGTTGGTGACTAAACAAATACACTGTGGCTTTTGTTGAAAGCTAAAACTTGGCTTCACTGAGGGGAATGGAGGTGAAGCTAAGTTGGAAGCCACTGCTATGCGCTAATGATGATGACAAGGCATGTAGTGAAACACTATTGGACTGGAGACCAGTATGGTGCCTTGTGTCTCCTGTGGCGTGGACTTTGGCCTCTTTTTCTCTGAGGTCTGAAAACATTTGCAGTGAAAGTACTGTAAATTTTTCATCTTTTCCTTGGCTGCTTAATTAGTACAGCAAAGAATGGGGTTGGTAAAAGCTCCTGCTTTGATTCGAATTCCAAGGTCCTTGTGCATCTTGCACCTTAAAATAGCCGAGGCAAGCACTGGTTAGCTTGAGAGTGGGGATGTGCTCAAAAGGCACTGCAACTCAAAGGCGGCTAGAGGGCAGCATGCACCTTCCAACAGGACCCCGGGCACCAGCTCCTCTGCAGGGCAGTGAGGGGATGAACAGGCTGCAGTGACCAAAGCTGCAGTTTATGCTGATGGGTGTTTTCCTTGTCTAATAAGCAAAGCACGCTCCAGACTAAAACCAGCAAAAGAACAAGTGTTCAGTTAGAATGCAAAAGATAAAATAGTATAACTAACACCAGCTTGAGCTGCTTGCTTCACTCCAGATTGGTTTCTAGAGTGATTTTTAACTTTGTTTTAAGCTTGGAAGAACCAATCAGAACTGTTCTCCATTCCTTATCCATAGGGATGATAGAAATGTAAAGGCTGTCAAAGTTGTGAAGCTTAAAAATCACATTTCTAGGCCTTCTGTTGGACTTAGAAATTGTGACCCTGAAATGGAAGCCTTTTATGTGCCATGTTGGTCACTCAGTGCTGAAGCCTGACAGCAGCAGCTAAGTTTTTGCTCTCTTTCACAGAGCATATGTGTGTGGTTATCTAGGGCAGCAGGTCCTGTTTCTCCTGTCAGAATGTCTGCCAGCTTCACATTATGCAAGAGCTTTGTTTTATAATTTGTCTCAGAGAAAAAAATATCTGCCTCCTAGAGGTTTAAAGCATGATTCAACAATTGAAAGTAAGTATAATTACAGGCTTCAGTCCCATCTCCCATAAACTTAACTCTTAAAGGACTGGCTTCATCCCATGTGTAATAATGCACATTGCCCTGTCTGTGCAAATTTTCTGGCTGCTGCTTCTACATCAGGTAGCTCAATTTTATCAGTTCTTTCATGGTGCTGCTAAAAGCAAGAAATCAGCAAATGCCACATCAGAAAAAAAAAATTCTGACATAAAGATACAATTTTTACTGTCCTTGGCCATTACTGTTTCTGACCTCCCATCCCACATGCTTCTTACCTTTAAACTCTTTCCTTGACATTGAAATTAAAGTTTCAGGTAGATAAAATGGTTTGGTTCATAGGCTAACTTAGTTTAAATACAGCCCCGTGAGCCATTCATCTGACCTGCCAGGCTGGATTCCGCTGTATGTGTATATGTTAGGCTAAGCATGCATGTACAAACTCCTCAGTTGTTGAGATTTCATTTGTGGGTTTCTTTTCCTTGATCTTAGAAGGAAACTTGCTGCACAGGAACAAGACAAGCTAAAGAGCACAGTCTCTGCAGCTGAAAAAGAGATAGGGCAAGAGAGCTCCATAGAATCAACGTATCTTTATGTTGTGTAGTATTTGGGTATGTGTTGGTGTGTCATTGTGCCTGTGAAAAATCAGCATCTTAGAGTAAATGAGACGCTTCTATCTCAAGTGTCTTAAGAGAAAGACCAGCAGAAAGGTCTGTAATTTAAATATGTGATATACTGGGAAAACAGCTTCAACAAAAGTAATGGTTACAAACTGACCTACATAACAACCTCCACAAGTACAAACTGCTCAGGAAGCAGATAAGAGCAAGTAACCAGAACCTGTCTATTATGAAGCATGCCAATAGCTATTATTCTTGAATGAATGGTTGATCACAGAGCTATTTCCTATGAAGTGTTTTTTCTACAGTAACTTATAGCATGATAAGATAAATCCCCTTCTTCGGGCTGCTTTTTCCATTGTGTTGGGTTGAACGAGTGCTCCTTAGTCCAAGCGGCAGAGAACTGTTGGTATTGTTTTAGATTCTCTTTGGAAACAGGAACTTAGAACATTATCAGTTTTGTTAATGTATCTTCCATTACTCTTGCAGAAAGCATTTGGAGACAGTTCTGTAGCTGATCTTGGTATGAATAAGTTAATAATTATATTGCAAAATCATTAATCCACTTAATTGCATAGACCAGGGCCGACTTTGGCTGTATTCTGTTCTGTATCTCTGTTCTCTGCTTCAGGGGAGGCTTTCTGGTAAATTATGTAAGACAGCGTAAGTCTGTTTCCCCCATTTGAAAATCAATCTCTTTACTGTATAGCAGTATGTGTGCTCACACAGCTGACACACAGGAGGAAAGCTGATATAAACCTTATTCCTGTAGTAGAAAGGGTCAGGGCTTGCTTTCATCTTCCAAGATCTTTGAATAGGAGGTCTTCTAATGGAAAGTCACTGCATATTGCTGCCGAGAAAAGCAAATGACCACACTCTCTGGAAAAAACTTTATTTTATTACTTCACTTGGAGTACAGTCAGGAGAGTGGTACTACTGCATCGCTCTTAGGAGTATGTCAGGGAACATGTGAAGGAAAACAGCTAAATGTTTGATTTTGCCACATTCAGCAGCACAGTGCCAAATACTATGATGAGTCAGTATGTACCAGGCAGCAAATGACTCAACGGAACGGTGCTGCTTACCAACTTTCCAGCCCCGAGTCAAATACACTGAAATTCCACTGATCCTGCCCGACCTCCAAACTCCCTGAAAGCAAAGCTCAAAGAAAGAGTTTCACGCCATAGACAGACGATTTGTATTTGTACAGGTACCAGTGCTGGATGTGCTTATGCATGCACATGTACATATTTTATACAAATGCAAATATATTTACATATAAGGCCTCAGTTGCAGTATAAATGCTACTTACATGTGTTGTCAGACCATAGAAACTAGGTAGATTATCTGAAAGGCACTTTTATTGTATGTACCTAGGCCAATAACGATTCCTTTCCTTTATTCCAACAAGGAAAAACCAGTTTCAATTTACCCAAACCTTTATGTTTTTACTTTTAGTGGAGTTTTATCCCGCATTCAACTCTTTAATTAAAGTGGTATTTCATCGGAAACTGGTCCACTCCACTTAGCATATATATTTGCATCGGTGCATGTGGGATTCTACAGCAAGCAACAAGTTGGAACAGAACACAGTGTAGCTGGGGCTCTGTAATCTTTCTTAGTGAAGTGGGCTCCATTTCCATTTGCCTCTCATTTAGTAAATACGTCTAAATTTGGCTGCAGGCTTGTTACAGAATATTGGTAAAATCACCCTGCCCAATTTTTGAAGACTGGCATTAAAGCAAACAAAATGTTATATCATTTCTTTACCTTTGTTTGACAGAGCAATAAGGAAGAACTGACAGTTGTAAACCACTTGGAGCCTGAAAGTTTAAACAGAAAATGAACAAGTGTGGCACAGAGTCTTTAATCTCAGCTTCTGTAAGAAACATTTCCACTAATTCTTTGCACATTTCAAATGATACTAAAACCTAGATGACACATCTACTCACTATTTTGCATCCAACTGGCCCTAGAAGAACAAGTGACCAGAAAACACAGAATCTCCTGTCTTAGAGCATAACATGAAGAGTGCTGGGAGAAAACAGTTTTTCTTCTCTGTCTCAGGATTCTTCTCCAACTGTGGAGTAGAGCCACCAATAGTTTCACTTAGCTGGGATGCAGTCAGGTGATTCCTACTTAAGGCAATACTAGACAATCAGGAGACTCGAGCCACTGATGTATGGCCATGCCCTCTTGGATGAGAATGCTTGATCAGGAGCGTCATCAGTGATGGCAAGGACAACATTTTTATTATGTGCTCTTTTGATATCAACGAGGTATGGATACACAACAACAACAGGATTACAGCAGCATTCCTGATCAAAAAATCCAGTTGGAACAATTCCACTTATGCTAACAACTTTCAGTTCAGGCTGTGTGTGCACTGCAAGTTCACCACACACAAACGATGTGTCCTTTCTAACCTTTTCAAGGAGAGCAGCGAGTGCAATGAAGCCAGCTGTTTACATAAAACTGTAGATGCAAAGATGCACATCTGACTGACAGATGCAAAGTCAAGACCAACACCTCCAAATCTCCTGCCGGCTCTTTTGGAGAGGGATGGTGACAGGAGCAGTCACTGGGCAGTTTCACAATAGTGCACAGGCGCATGGGTGTTGTCCGAGCTCCACAGCTGCTCGCTGACAGTTCCAGAGCGGCTCACCTCCCACAGTGCCAACTTCAGCACCTCAGAGACCGTAGTCTTGACCTCAGCCTGGAACTTTTTGCTGATCAGAACATAAAGGATTGGATTGAGGCAACTGTTGATGAAGCCAAGGCTGGTGGAGAGGGGAATGCCATCCTGCAGTAAGTCATGCAAGTTTTCATCATGGTGAGCTGACAGCTCCACGATGCTGAATATGTGATATGGTGTCCAGCAAACAAAAAAAGCTACAACTACAGCAATGATGGTCCAGAAAAGCCTGCTGGAAGTCAATACAGTTCTTCTCTTCACTTTGACAATCAGCAATGAGTAGCAAATGACCATGGTCACTAGAGGAAAGAGGTAACCAAATGCAAGCCTCACCCAAATGAGAATGTGATGCGTCAGCAAAATAAGTTCTCTGTTATGCACGTGGAAGTTGTTGTAGCAAATGGTGACATTGTTGAGGACTGTAACTGTGTCTCTAAAGTATAAGGCAGGGCCACCAATAATTGCAGCTGACATCCAAATGATCCCACTAAGAATGAGAGTGTTCCGTACAGTCCGATACTTGTAGGAAAAGACTGGATGGACAAGGCGGATGTAGCGATCAAGGCTGATGAATGTCAGGAAGAAGACACTGGCAAACATATTAAGTAGCGCAATGAATGAGTTCATTTTGCAGAGCCACTTCCCAAAAGGCCAGTGGAAGCCCATTGCCACATATGTAATATAGAGGGGCAGGAAGAGAACAAAAATGAAATCTGCAATGGCCAGATTGAGGAACCAGAGTGTAGACACAGATTTATCCCACTTAAAGCCCATAAACCAGATGACGATGGCATTACCTGGCACTCCCAGCAGAAATGCCACACTGTACAAGGAAAGGGAAATTATATGGGCAATGCTGAGGGAGGACTGGGGTGATTCATCTTCCTCAGACAGGTCATAGAAGTACGAGTAGTTCTCAAAATCTTCAAATGTCATGTTGCAGAGTTGCTTTCTAGGGAAGAAAATAAATGGAACAGTTAAAGGGGAACTGTTTTACTGCACTGCAAATAGTAACCTGCAATTCCTTTAGGTTCTTGGACCTAAAAAAACCCCAAACATTGACTTAAGTTTCACATGTCTATCACTTCTTAGCTGTGACTTGCTAGCACAAAGCTTGTGGACTATTTTGGTTACAGGCATTTATAGAATGCTCAAATCAAGACAACATTTGAAATCTTCAGGAACTGTCTTCCTTGCATTTATTTCTTAAGACAGAGCACTGGGCACAGCATCACTGATAAATCCCTGGGAGACCAAATGCAAAGTTTTACTTAAGTGTGATTTTTCTATTCTTTTTCGGATTTTGTATTTTACTGCTCTGTTCCTCTCTGAAGCAAGTTTAGGGATTATATCTGTCAGAAAACAGAGAAGCACCTAGCAAATGTAGGCAAAAAAGTGCAGTTAAAATGCCAGGAAGCTATTTCTTATAAAATTACTACCCACACACTCCTCAAATTACAGTTCACAAAATCATAGACAGTCATTTCATTGCTCCAGCAATTGAAAGTTCATGGATTTATTCCTCTGCATCACGTATCTAGCTTTGTATAAAGGAATGCTGATTTTCAGATACATTCAATGCATTAGATTTCCGTAACACAGCAAAGGAGGTAGAGAACTAAACATACAGAACATATTTCAGGGACAACACATATAACTTTGGTAATTCTTCTGCTAGTGAGCTGAGAAACAAGTAAGAGATGAAAGAAAATAAAGCTTCCCAGGAGAATAAGACACACTGTAAGAGCTATAGATGAGAATATGCCTGTCTGGTTTCTTGGGCTTTTTTTAAGACAGATCCCACAGACACATCGTCTGTTTTCTTCTGTTGTAAAAGCTTCTGGAACTTACAAGTACATGATATTTCATATAGGAATTTCCTTGTAAAATTCCAAAGGAAGAGTGTGGGAGGGAGAGAAGGGGGGCAGAGGGGGAAAGGAAGGAGTGAATAAAAACCAAACAAAAGACCCAGAAAAAGAGAAATGAATGGGAAAATAAATAGCAAACAGAGGTTAAACAGGAAAGAGCACTCAGACTTTACGTGTTCATTCCAACGCACCACAGACGGCCACAGTCTTACAGAAGTATCTGCAATGGTCAAAACAAACATTCTGCTAAATTCTGCTATCATTTAAAGTTATAGTGTCTGTCTGGACTCAGCTGCACTACGAACCTGTCCCTGATATGAGGACAGAACCAGCCCATTATACTACGGATGAGCTCACCGGTACTTTGCTGGGCGCTAGCTCCATTCAGAAGCTGAAATTCAGCCCCCAGCTGGCTTTTGGAACTCAGCTCTGCATTCCTGCAATTCCACTGATTTTAGCATGCTAAGGACAACAGGAGAGGGGTCTCCAGAGTACGCTGCCTGCAGAAACACATCTGCAAGTTTGTATTTATGTACATACCTTTCCTCCAAGGGTAGTTTGCTTACTTGGAAAGGATTACTCCTGCAAGTGAAGCTACGCATGTGCACACACATTAGCAGGATTAGATTTCTCCTTCGTAGATGGCTAGGCAAGGGTGGAGAGGGGGGGAGAAAGTTGTGTAATTTTATATCTCTTAATTAAAGAAAAATATGTAGTAAGAGTCAATACAGCCTGTTCTGTCAAGAGGCTATGATAACATTTGCCTTTCATAATTTTCATCAGGCTGAAGGAATGTTATTTGGTTGCTGTCCTGATAAAATGATATGTACTGGGCTGCATTCATGTAATTACATGCCTCTTGGGGGTAGATTCTGCACTAAATACCAGTACCACCCAGCTGAGTAATTTTTTCAAACAGCTTAACAGCTGCTGAGAAATAGCATAAACAAAGTGCAGTACCACTAACATCTGCAACAACATTACATTTGGGCAGTTTTACGGGACAGTCAGGTTAATAACTGGATTTTTAAGTGTCTTTACCTATATACAGAACAATACCTTCAAATTGAATTATGCAATAACAAAAAAATTCCTATTTTTAGACTCTTGTTGATTACAATCCTGTATTCCAGTCTCTAATTTTGCTTTTAAGTGTCTCAAGAGCTAGCACAACACAACAATACTTGGATTCTAACATTTCCTCCCAAGAATCTGTTTTTCCTAATGGTGCTAAAAAATAACCCTAATGACAATAACAAACATTTGCCTACTGCCCAACAATGTTGATTATATATTTAGATTTTCAAACATGATGCATAGCAGGAGAAAGAAAATGCACCTAAATAAATACCAAATATTTACCAAGCCTCCTGTAGTTTAAAACTCCTCAACTGAAAGAGTGCACCTTTAGAATGCAATTATTTCTCAAAGCTTGCATTTTTCCTTATCTCCAACTCCTACTCCTCCCATGCAGTAATTCTTTATTGGGGGGGGGGGGGAACAGGAGGAACATTGCTTATGATTGCTCCCAGTGCAGATGCTGAAACTAGACCCTACGGCTAGGGCTCAGAAAAGACAATTACCTCGGCAAAGCCCATACACTTTTACCTCTGGCATCCACATATATGAAGCACTTCAATAGGTTAACCCTGCTCTGAAAAAGGTAAGCAGTAAGGGATTGTCAGTGGAGCTATGCTTGTTAACACCACTAAGGACCCAGATTTTTTCTTCAGGGATAACTGTGAATCATCATTCAGAAGGAATATTTCTTTGTGTTCTTGAAACATATGCAGCCTCATATACATGCACTTGCTGGGGTTTTTTATTTATTAATAAACTTTAGAGTCAGAACTGTCTTGCAGTTCAAGTCTAGGTTTCGAAAGTGAAGAAATTTAATATTAATCCTTATTCTGTCACTGATTTCCTGTATGATCTTTGATAAACTGCCTAATTTCCAGGCTGGAAAAGCCACTCATGAACCTGTTTGCAAAGGCTCAGCAGAGAAAACAAGACTTTTTGCCAGCAGTTTCCACTTGGCTTTCAGGCCAGCTGCTAGAAAGGGTAAGGGAGGTTCAGTGCAGTTCACTGGATCAGTCCCTGCCGGTCCAGGGTTGTGAGAAGGAGCCAGAGCAAGGAAAGTACTTTTCAATAAATAGGAATGTGTGGTCAGAGGCCTGCCAATAGGACCTGGGGGCAGCCACAGGTTACAGGAGTCTTGTACTGCATGTGGATGAATATAACAAGTTCAGACTTCATTCTGCTGTTTTCTTTCTTTTTTTTTTTAATAGAAAACAGCCCGTATACACTGAGCAGTTGTTTGACTGGAGCCTGTTCCTGTTTGCTGAGGTCACAAGCAGCTCTGAAAACTGAGCCTCCTTGATTCAGTTGCTTAATTATATGAATACAGTTGCTTAATGTTAAGCAAATAGGTTCCAGAATGTTTGAGCAGGATGTTTCATTTCCTGTCCCTTTCTGTAAAACAGGAGTTAATGATGAAGTTACTTCAGAGGAATATCACAGACCAGCACTTAGTCCTGGTACCTTTTAAATCCTGGGACAGAAAACAGAATTACCAAGAAATACAGATTATTACAAAATATTTCTAAGACACAAAGCCATGGAACTGCTGTGAAGAGTCTTTCATCATGTGCTATATGAGCTATCTTTCTCTGAATTTCAGCAGGGAATTACAGAATTGCATCTCAAATGACATATTCATAGCTTCTTATTACAAGTGTATAATTGTAATACACTTGTAATGAGTAGTAGCTCGTTTTCTCTGCTACTACTACAGCCATTCATAAATTTGAGCCATAATGACAAGTTGGACAAACAATTTGATCTGCTTAAAATAGAACAGCTTTTGTCACACTAAGAATGGCCTTATGGTTATGACACGGGACCAGTACTTTGGACACTATTCATGGCTAACACCACATGCATCCCTGTTTGACTAGGGGAAATCATTTGACCTCTTTACGCCCCAGCTCTGAGGTCAGTGGAATGGCTTTTGAATTAAATTGCATTGCGTTTTCAGTCTAAAATAGGAGAAAACAAACAAAACAGTTGCAATTTCCACTCACTTCATTTGATGCTGTCTTCCGGGGGGGTTGAATTCTCTAAGCACCACGCAAGTTAGGTTCCAACCTTATTACACTACATGTGGTAGTTTATGCCATATATTTGGACTGCACAACCCTCTCACACATATGGTCCTCATTACTTATGAAGTTTACAGAAAGGTTCAATGGAAGAGCTTATTCATTCTCTGTGTTGGTTAAAAGTTAACATAAATATATGAGTTGTAGTCCTTAAATCTATTTGTTCAGTGTGATAAACAGTGCTCAGAGCCTCTGGCCAGCCAAATTGATTTCAGAGGTCACAATAGTGGGTCCTGACTTAATAGGAAAAATATGGCTCGCAGAGCTGGCTATCTCAACAGTTAACTTCATATATTATGATGGAAATATATTACATAAACCCACCTTTTAATGTCTTTATGAATAATTCTGAGCTTATCACATTCCACATGTATCATCTATGGCTAAATAAAAGCTTATTTGGTTGATTCACTTCAACTTTTGTCATTTCCAAGAGCCAAATGTTGGAGAACAACTGGTTTCTCAAAAGGTCACCTAAAGCCTGCTTGTCATGCTGGGTCTCAGCAAGTTTGTCTGGTTATTGAAATAATATAAGACCATCAAAAAATGTCTTCAAACATTTAAGATGCTAAATTTTGGATTTATCTAGCTTCAAAAACATAGGCATAAAATAACCCAGTAGTTTCTCTGTAAAGTTCAGAACACAGAAGGCTGAGTAAGTTTTTTAGAGGTATATACCTCTTTCTGGCAAGTATTTTACAAAGACATGAAAAAAGATCCTAAAAATCATGAGGAATACCGATGAGATTACAAACTGTCATAAATTCATACTTCTGCCTCAGAAGAACAAAGCTAAGATGACCATTTACCTCCATGTAGAAACATTCCTATAATGGGAAGTGCCTGATACACTCATACTACAAAATTAAATCATAGCTATGCTATAATTTAAGCCTAAAGTTGGCCCTGCAGACAAAGCTACT